AATCATAAAGGGAATTTTGGAAAAATTTGAATGAAAGTCATGAATGTTCATTAAACAGAAATGCTTCCTGAAAGAGCATGTTAAATACATGTACCCTAAAAGCTGATCAGCCTCACTTGAATATCAGGTGTATTGAAGTCAAAACTAACTCTCAGAATATGTAGATTAAAAGCCATTCAAAAAGAGAGTCAAGACTATTTAATCAAAGATTCCTGTAAAAATAAAAGCTAAAAAATACTACACAGTGATTACAAATTGTTGACATCTTTAACATATACAGCCTTATTTAAGCTTAAATTCCATGTCACTGTGCATGTAGCTTCTGCATGACGTCGGTGAGCTTTAGAATGAACGTCTGGAAGTTCTTTCTCCACTGCTTTAGCACAGTTAAGGTGATTTGTGAGAAGCAATATTGTAAAAGACAGCTCTTCTCGAAAAAAAAAAAAGGGTAGATGCAACATTTTGGTAAGGGAAAGGACCAACAAATTATATTTATGAAATACCTTAGGCCTCTTAATTAGCTTGTGGTGGTATAAACATGTTGAAGAAATTAGGCTATGGTATTTTTAAATACTAAAAAAAAAATAACTAAATTGGACAGTCCAGAAGGCCTGATTTCTGTGAGTACCTAACATTTACTTGAGTAATTTTTAATTAGTAATATTTTTCACTAAATAGCATATATAATGAAAACCATTAATCAAGCTTCACTTAATTCCTGTTCCTCACTTGCTTAAATATTTTCATTTAATAATTTATTGTCTAAGTCTTTCAATTCAGTGGCCTGCTTTAAGTTAGATCAGGGTATTTTTAGTCGGGTGATAAAGTTGACCCTGCAAATTATTTTATTCTGCTCTTTGAAGTGTGAGGCTGCAGCGTATGGTTCTGATTCTGACAGCTGGACTTTCCCTGCCCACCTCATGCCATTACAAAACTTCTGACCAACATTTAGTTTTCCAGTGCAAGCCCTGTCCCAGTCTGAACACAAATTAACTAGTTTAATAATGACTGGAAGTCGTTCCTGAGGGCATGACCCCTAATGCTGCTAATCAAGGGTCTTTGGAATATAAGGTCTCCTGAAATAAAAAGTGCAGTACAGAAATATGCATGTAGAAAATCACGCTTTCTGTTTGGGGTTTTTTTTTCAAGCCACTCTGTAAAAAAGATGCAGAGATGGAAGTGCTGACAGTGGGTAGTGAAAGGCTCCTCTCCTAAAGCTTTTCTCCACTCTGCCACAGATTCCATCTTTCTAGGACAGTTTAGCAAGAAGCAAAAATGCACACGTGGGATTTCTTCACAGAAGTAGGGGAGGTAAGACTTGGACTTTAGTGACTAAAGATTTTTTTTAAATCTTTCCACCAAACTAATAGCATCAAGGAGAGGGAAAACAAGCATCTAATGTGCTGGGTGTGCAAAAGACCTGGTGGGTAGAAGGAGCAGGTGCTAAACCTGATAGGGAGCTTTGTGTCGGCTCCGGGGCCGTCGAGGAAAGAGTCTGCCAAAGGGTCTGTGGGGAACAGAGCCCAGGAAATTAGAACATCTTTGAGCCTGTTGAAAACTGAGGTGGTGCAAGTTCAGTAACAGCCAAAGAAAGAGCAGCTAGATCACTGAGTATTACTTCTGTTGTCCTCCCCTTCTGTTTCTGTCTGGAGTCAGGAAATACATCAAATGTTTAAATGTTAATTCTTTCCAATTTTAAAAATACCTTTATTTCCACACTAAGGAAAATCTGTGGTAGTTTTCAGTTTAATGGAAGAGAGAAGTGATAGTATGCAGAAGGGTTTGCCCTTGGGCAATAGGTGCTCCGATGGAACACAGCCCTTCTGAACCCCAGACCTGCACTGCTGGGGCTCCCAGCAGAGAGTTTGGGCTGCCCGAGGCTGCCAGTCCAGCACTTACAAGGACTGCCCTTAGCCCAGGGTGTGAGCAGCTGGCAACTGGAATGTCCCCAGTGGACATTCCGATCAATGTATTTGTCCTGTTACTCCTTCAATTTATTTTTCTGTTTATCATCTCCCTCGCAACCAGCAACAGCTTTTGAAATTTTATTTTAAAAAAAAAATAGTTATTTAGATTTTAGATGTGTGTTCCTTTACATCTGAAGTATAAAACAATGAGCAGTAAATTTTTTGTTGCATACTTTCACTGTTCATACACAAATTAAATTATGGAAGCGGTTCTGTATCTTAATAATCAGGCAGGGCTTGTTGCCTAATAAAGTTGGGTCCCCTTACGCTTCTCGTACCTTTTCAAATAAAAAAAAAATGTGGCAGAGATGAGGAACATTAAAACAACCTAAAATGCATCATTTTCATGACTCTTACTTGTGAGGTTTTTTAAGCCTTGTATGCTCAATACAGGTAGTGCATAAAGTGGGTCTTTAAAGGGAACAACCCTACATTTGCAAAGGCCTGAGTTAGGTTAGCTGCCCTTTTCCAAGTCTGCTTTTCATGTACTTTAAGAAAGAATATGATGCACCACAGCATGAGCTTAACTCAGAAGGACTTCTGCAAGCAGTGGGCTTTTCCACGCCAAGGTGTAATACTTGCTTTGGATATCAGATGTCATACATGTGATATTTCTATTAGTTCTCCCTTTAGGTCTATGTAAACAGTAGTATAGAATTTAACTAAATAAGAACTTGTTACTGTAAAAACATTAAAACCATTGAAATGTTAAAGCAAATTTTTTGTAGTTGTTACAAATGACAGCTAATTAGTTATAAACAAAAAAATGAACTGGCTTATTGAACTCCAGCATCTAGTCTTACTTTTCATTCTCAGAGCTGCTCTGCTGACCAACGTGTAACTTTCTCCTCATTTATTTATATAGTTGCAAAATTAATTTTACAAAAGCCAAATAGAAGGAAAAATAGTATCTGCCTATGTAAATTGAAGCAGTATTAAAAGGAATGTTTAGGGTAGATATTTTTTTAAATAGGTATCGCCTTGGGTTGAATTTTCTTGATTTTTCTACCAATGATTAGGGAAGAGTTGGTAATAAAAAGTGAGATTTCAGGGAAGTTTCAATAACATCCGTCATTCCAAAAGACAAATAGCATTTAGTGTCCTGGGGTCTTTCTGTAAGTAGCTAAACCAGCCTGCTATTCTTACAGATAATTCTGAATTTGGCATCTGGAGATAGAGTATCTGTGGTGCTATGTCAGTGGCTTCCCTAACAACAAGTGTTCTGAATAGAAATAAGGAAAAGGAGTTGCTCAGCTAGCCACTTTAGTGGCAGTTTTTAAGGAAAACTGATCTGTTCTAGATGAGAGGGCAGTTTAATAACTTCATAGAATTATTCTAAAGGATTTTCTGTAAAATTATAAAACAGTAGCTGGTACGTGTGCATTGCTACAGGCTGAATCCCTTTTAGGCAAACATCGACCTGCTTCTTTCTTTCTAGTTGTCACAAGAGGTTGGTAATAAAAGAGGTGATAGCAGTAAATACAGTGACAAATGATACTACCTATGAAATACAGAGTAGCTCTGTACTTATAATGATAAATTTATCCCTCTTCATTTTTTAAAAATTCATCTCTTTAGCGTGATATGCAAGGTAGATCTCATTAGCTTGTGAAATTGCTGCAGATGACAAAGTAAAGAGTAAAACTACCATTCTGTACCTCCAACTGCAACTAAAATAATACACAGTTTGATCATTAAGTTCATTCAGACCAAAAGGCAGGTGCTCGTATTTCTGAGATAGGGCAGAGGCAATGATTGATCTTGTCCCTATAGCGTGGATTATAGAGTCCTTGTTTTGTTTTTTTTTTCCCAAACCATGAGCCTCTAAGCAGCGAGGTTTCTAAAGGAGAATTTCAAATCTCTCTTATACATTGGAGGTGGAGTAATAAAAATAGATTAGGGCTTAACTCTTTGAGGTTCTGTTCCCCCTAAGAGCTGCCTGCTCCTGAACCGAATAGTTTTCAACCAGATCTCCAGAGTACTTAATGCTTTACAGAGCTTTTGTCATCTTGCAGAACTGACTCTTCTAGGCAGTCTTTAGTACAAGCTAAAACTTGTTCCTTCTAGCTCCAGTTTGTTAGACTCTTGCATTAAAGCGGTGCAAAACGAAAAACCTCAGTTCTTCACCGTGCCTTGCAGCGCGGGCTGGAGGAGCTACAGGCAATTTGGGGTGAACTGCACCCAGGTTCCTTAGTAATCCTGCACAACACACAGATAATTCAAGGAAGCTGTGTATATACATGTAAAGGAATCATTTGCTGTTAATCCCTCAACATGGTTTCCACTAACCCAAATCCTGTTTGCTTTGACTTCGGAAAGGACAAATCAGGATTTGTGCTGTAATTGAAGTTTTCTGCATTTGAAATACTACTGTATTTAGCATTTCTCTTTTTATGTTACCTGGTTTAAAAAAAAGAATTTTGCAAGAGAAGGTTTATAATAAATTACGCATATCTCTAGTTTATTCTCCTAAGATTCTGCAAAAGGCTTTTGTATGTATTCAACTGACAGTATATGTGAATATACTTTGTCATTTTTTTAATAAATAGCAGAAAATTAATTTTGTGATTGCCATCATATTAGACATATAAAAAGCAAAATATTTTACTTTCAATATCCTCCTTTCAGGTGCACGAAGTAAATTGCAATTTTATTTTTTTTTCAAAAAACGCTTTTCACATATTTTGCACTAGTGCCCTTTAATATCTCTATCAATATAAAGATTGTTTTATTTTTATTAGACTTCATAAATATATTGACATATCTGTAACACTAAACATGAAGCTTCCAATGCAAGAGTTTGTACATAGTCCATATCCGAATGTCACCATTATTTCATTTAAAAGATCCTAGCATGTCTACCTCATGATCCTTATAAACTCTATAGTGCTGAAATACGTCAACACTTTTTCTTGCTACATTCATTGAAATTAAGCACCCTTACCCTACCCCATCTGTAAACATCAAGTCAATTGGCAGCTAGCACATTTCCCAGTCAGCAAGCAGTATTGTGAATTTTATCTTCTCTTGCAGAAATCAATTCGTCTTCGTTGCAGCAGATGAAATTTCTTGTAACACCTCTGCAGGTAACAATCATTGATACTTCTTGATGCATCCATCCAGGTCTCAATATCCTTTTTCACATGCTGCATTTAATCGTAAGAGAAAGCATAGGCAAGTCCATAGTATAAATCTTTGGAATACTTTAATTAATTTATAGCTTCAGCCTAGAGGTTCTGCCATATAAAAGACGTTAGGTTATTTTGCTGACTTGGGTGGGTTATTTCCAGTTTAAATGTCATATGGCCTAGTAAGCAAGGATGTGTTAAACCTTCTAATAAAAACTCACTGTGCAGTACAATCAAGACTGACTTTCCAAATCCCAAGCCATACAGAACTAAGGAAAAGAGCAAAGGCTTAGATGGACGTAGGACATTGTAAGTGCTATAGATATAACCATTTTCAACTCGTTGGGGGCAACTATTGCCCACAAGCGTCCTGCGGCCCCTAAAGCACTCACAAAGTCTATCCTATGGATGAGATAGTGGGAGAGAGGGTCTGTGTCCTCAGAGGATAGCTCTCTAGTAAGGAAAAATCTTAGGTGCTTTGCAAGCACACGCTCGTGTTGTGAGCAGTAGGTCCAGAAGAACGAACAATGTTTTTAAAAGGTAATGCTAATTTATACATCTATTGAATATGTCAAGGGGTTGTCTTTCTTTTAAGCAATAGTTTGAACAATCTTAGTCTTAACTCAGGTAAGGATGGTATTGTGTCACTACGTAAAAAAAACAAACTCAAAAGCCAAAATAAATAGTAACAGTGCTTGGTTATATTCTGCCAATAATGTTATGGGAAAAAGTTCCTGAGTTCATAGAAGCTGCTTGTATTGAAGGCTGAAGGGGTATAGAGTGTGACGCAAAATGTTGGTGTTAAGAAGTGTTTATTTATCAAGGAGCAGAAATTAATGAAAGGTGACGAGTTTTCTGTTCATGCCATCAGTGATCTACAGAGAACCAAATAAAGAACATTTACTAATTAAAAGAAAGATTGTAGCTAAAGTCAAAATATGCTGAAAATGTAATATATGATGGCCATAGCATTTTTTATGGTAATCTGAAAAGTTCTTCTATAATAAAAACTGATTTAACATGGACTTTTCAAAGTCCTAAATCAGTAAGAGGCTACATTTTGAGAAGTCAATGTGTGACACTTTCTTGGTCCCACTAGACCTGGATTTTTACTTTCATTATTTCACTTGTGCTTCCTGCTCGGCTCTGCATTACAATGAGCTGTAGTAGGGAGACTGCTAATACATCAATCTAGGCCTTGCTAAGTAAGAATAAATAAAATTATTATAGCAATTTTTTAACTCGGAATTCTTGAGATAGACATGGGGTCTTCAATATTTTTTTTGTCTTGAAAGCAATTTCCTGTTTTGCAGAGTGAACCTTTCTTGGCAATAATTATTTCTCTAATAAAGACATTTTTCCCCTCGATTCAGGCACAATTCAAGTGTCCAAGAGTATATTTTTAATCTCTCTCTCTATATATATGAAATATATATATAATGTATGTATTGCACATATTGCTACACAAAAATATAGTATTCTTATTTATCAGTAAATTCAGTGAACTTTACACAGAAAAAAATTAATCTCTGTATATTTATTAAAACTTTTCAGTTTACCAGTTGATTACCTCTGTTGGATTTATTCAACAATAAGGTATTTTTGCTAGGTCCATTTCTGGCCATATGACAACCATATCCATCACAGGTGACTGTAGGTGCCTTTTTTTTGTAATATGCTCTGAAGGAGAAAGCTAACGAAAGCCTGTATCTTCTGTTTCTTGTATGCCTGTGTTTTAGTCATAGAATTTAAAGGACTTTTGGCTTTATACAAAGTAATTCTCTGGCCCATATTCCTGTGGTACAAGTTGCCAAAGTTGCATTTGGTCTTTCGAATCTGTAAGTTGACTTTCAACTGATTTATTGTCTGATGTTTTATGGTTTTTAATACGTGGAGCATATCCAGAGACAGATAAATGTGGAGAACCGAAGCTGACCTTCTGATGGCTTTTCAGATGCATGCAGAACAGCTGCAGTACAATTGTATAGTGCTTTTTTTTAGTGCTCCTAAACTCAGTTACAGTAATTCAATTGTACCATTGATATAAAGTGAAGATACTGATAATATGCTCAATGTTTGAAATGTGAGTATATGTATGTTTGTATTATTTCCTTGTCCAGAATGTGTGTGTTTGGAGACTTTTTTTGGCTGGAACTTTATGATCAAATGGAAATGGGTGGTCTTGGGTGATTCTGCTGGTAATGTTCACTCTTCTCTTCTGGATACTTTTATCATTCCTGCCAGAGGATACTTAGCCCTCAGCCACATGATATCTTTTTGATTCAGGAATAAAACAATCTTGAATAAATAAATGTGTTAATGAATAGATAGTGTGTCCATGTACACATTTCTGGTCATGTTTTTGCATGCACGTTACATAAAGAAAACCTATTCCAGTATCTGACAAAGGGGTCCTTCCCAAAGAAATTTAAAAATATTTCACTCTTGACTGCATTCAGTGCATTCTGAGGCTAAAATGAATCACTCTTCGGAAGAGAGGGTCTGTGCTTTTGGGATAGATCTTCTCTGGCAGGCATGATTAAAGAGTGTGCAAACAGGCCCAAACTAGAACAGACTTTGTCCTATCACTTTGATGGAATTTTAACAAGGATGTCTGAAGACTTTTCTCTAGCAAATCTCTGACAATGGGTATATTAGGGGAGAATTAATCCTGAGGTTCCTGGCTGATGGGGCCAATGGGCACCTTGCCCTACCAGACACTTAATAAATCAGAATGAGGCCCAGAATAAACCCATGGCTTATTTACATGTTGATTGTAGAACATTGCTTATTTTGAATCTTTAGCATTTTTAATGATTTTTTTTTTTCAAATCAGTGCTCTTTTTTTTTTTCTTTTAGGTTTTCATAGTTTGTAAAGCGAAAATATTTTTGAAGTGCATTCTAGGATGGACCTGCATATTGCATTTTATGATTTTTGTGTAAATACGGGGCAGGATCATTAGTCTATGTTTATATCACTCTTTCTTTCTTCCTCTAATTTTTAACTGTTATCTGGCTTCCATCTACAAAGAAAAAGATCCAGTGCAGTTGCATGTGTGGTATTATTTTTCTCCCAAATGTGTATGTAGTTTATGATTTTGAAATAATAGAGTTCGAGGCAAGTGTATATATAAAAACCTGAATTTGGAATGAAGTGTGGTGGAAGTGAAAATAACATCTGTCCAGTTGTGACTGTATTTATTTATATATTTGAGCAGAATTGTCCCCAGGAGGCGGGATTGTATGTGTGGTGCAAATGAAATGCATTGTAAAGCTTTAGAAGTTGACCGTCTTAACCTAAGTTTTTGACCTCCATTTGGAGAAAGGTGCAGTCTCCAAAACAGATTAAACATTCTGAAAGATTTGATTCTCTAACTCTAGGAAGAGCATTTCGTGAAAGCAGATGGCTTAAAGATGCAAATATTGGAGTTTGTACTACTGGAATAGTTTGAACAGAATATTGGCAGTTTTTCACCGAGGCATTTGCTCAAGTCGGTGCAGTTTTCCTGTATCCTGTCATTAACCTGTCGACACTAACACCACCTCCAATTTAATCCATGAAGCAATAACAAATATGGAGATGGTAATTTAAAAGCAAATTAGTACTCAACGAAGTGCTTGGAAAGGTTAAGGTGCCTGTTGTGGTGTACCTCTGCTACGGTACATAAATACTCGTAGCTGGTCAAAATTTGGCCATACATGCTTGCACATTGACTTATTCACCCGTCTGGTAAGAGATACTGATCAGATTATAGTCGTTCAGAGGAATTTCCAAGAAGTACGTATAATCCAGACCGCTTCAGAAGAATACAGTTTCAGAGATATTTCCTTCAGCTGTTTTGAATTGCTGTGTGAAGATGTATGTTCAGTTGTGAGAGGTTCTTCTTTTTTAGTGTTGCTGCCTATGGGCCTGACTTTGCTACATGAAGCAATTTGACTTGGAAAATAACTGTTTTCTATGAGACACTTTTATTACTGTGCTATGCTCTTCCACTAACCAGATAAAATAAAATGTGAAGGTGAAGGAGCACCTGTAAGGTGTCTATTTATTGGAAGCCATACTGCTTTCCCCTGTGAAAAACAGCAGAGACCAAAGTTTGGCTCTGGAAGGACTAGGAAATGTTGTACTAATGCACAGTATTAAACTCCTCCTATAAATTCAAGTGTCCTTTATGTTGGCAGTTTAAACTTGCATTTAGGGCTGCTCTGAACAGTTGCTTATATGGAATTCCATTTTTTACAGCTTTTACTGCTCTTGGTAGTTGCGTGGTAAAGATGTTCAGCTGATAAAAATCAGTAAACACTTTGATTATTCTCTGTTCTTCTTCCACGAAGATTGATTAATTCCTTTTTCTCACCCAGTGAAAACACTGGCAGCCCTTTTTGGCATCTTTGTCATTATCTCTTTGACAGCTTGCCTTCCTGGTGCTTACAGTTCTAGGTCAGTTCGCTTGGCTAGTCAAATGTGACAACATGACAAGATTAAGTAAAGCTGAGGTTCTGTGATTTGTAAATGGAGGATTTGCAATGTGAAGCTCCTTTGATAACAGAAATGGTGAATAATCTGTGTTTGCCCTCAACAAGTGTGTATAAGCATGTCTGCATTTTCTGTGCCCCTTTTTTTTTTTTTTAATGAAGCAACCCGCATTTTTCTTCTTCGATAGATTGAAAATAGTACATGGGAAAGGTGGTTTGTCTGTGTGCATGTATGTATGGTTATATAGAGGTGCATGAAATAAATGAGGATTCACTTTTCATATCGTAAAATTACCATATGACTTTTAAAATGCTAAATAATACTAATAAAAAAATACGAATAAATATGCATTATTGCATAGCACAGAACTTTACACACCAGCACAATAGACTGTTTTAAAATGCAGTAAACAAAGTATCCAGTAAATTTATTACTGAGAATCTATTCAAGGTTTGTTGCCCCAAAAGATTACAGAAATAGG